ACACTTCCTTCTTCATGGAGATACTGTTGGCTGGTGTTGTTTGGTAGAAAGAAAATAGCACCTCCATTTAAGTGTTCACCACAGGTCTGTAGATCATTTTAAGTGACTGGGTCATGATCTCTGAAAAGACACATTGCTGTTGAGTTTTTTTTTTTGTTTTTTTTTGCACTTTGAGCACCACAACCTGAGTGCCCTATAGTTCCATAATTTTCAATGGATGGCAAAGATCTCTATAGCCAGTCACTCCAATACCTGGTAACTCACACCAAAACAATCTAAAAATAAATAACACTACAGGTAAGATGAAAAATATGTGTTTTTTACTTTGGGGTTAAATGTCCCTTTAAAGACATGAAATTAGGGAAACAGCTAGCATGGCTCTGTCCAAAAGTAACAAAATCAACAACTCTAAAGCTCACTAAATAACACATATCGTATTATGTCTACTATATTTGTTCTGTGCAGTTCTGGATTTACTTGCTGTTTGTGCTGTACAATTTTTTGGACTAGGCTGGTGAAAGTGACTAGTTTTGCCCTGTTCAGCCTTCATGCTCTGCTGTGCTAGCTGCAGATTTATATGTAATGGACAGATATGAGAGTAATATCAATCTTCTCATCTAACTCTTGATGAGAAAGCAAAAAGCGTATTTCATGAAATGTCTTTTTCTTTACACAACTATACCCACCGCTGACCATATTCTCATTTAGTGAGGAACGAGTGACTGAATGTTGTGTTTTAAAATAGCACAGGCTCTCTGAGCAGGTGTTCAGGTGTGCTCCTGAGGGACACTGCTGGTGCCTTGATCCTTGCTGTGACCCCCCAACCCTCTGTAATCCACATCCCGTAATGGCACATGCTGCGCTGGCACCATTGCTCATCCCTGAACTCTATTGTTCATTGTTTGTCTTCTTCAGTTTTTTCCCATGGGCCCCTGGCCAGTGAGAGGAAAAGGTCACTGTAAATATTGCACTGAAATCCTCCCTCCCTCCCATAGAGGTCCTGAAGATGGAACAGGCGACCAGTGGGTGAGCACTTCCTTCCTGCGCAGGGCATTTCAACTGTAAGACATCAAACAAGTATGAATCCTTCAATGTCAAAGATCGCTGCAGTGAGATCATGTGCTCAGTGTTGACATTACAATAACCTGGGCAGGTCTCAGCTCTTTGTTAAGCCCATCAGATAGCATAATATCTACATATGTGTCTCTATGTGCCATCACAAAGATGCAATTTATCAAGAAAACTGGACAGTACACATGAAACACTTCTGTTTTCTCAGTGAAAGAACGTTAACCACACATATCCCATAGCTGCTCTTTAATCATTCTCTGTAACTGGTTAATGAGCGATACTATAATAATAATGACTAGGCATGAATCCAACCCCTGCCTGTATTTTGCAACACAGAAAATGCACAAAATATAGATCGCAAGGGAAATTAAGTGAGGCTTAGCAACCCCTGACCCATGTGTTGCTAATCACTAGCCTGTAGCACTGCTGTTAATATAAGACAGGGAGATTTTAAATAAATCCCTGATATTTGGGTTTGTTTTGCTTTTGAGTGGCGCTCCATCTCCCGCTGCTCCCCTTTCCCCCGAGGAGTCCAGTTCCCTGGGCTCACAAATTTGGGCTCCGGAAATTCAGGCCTGTGCCAGGCTTAGCTTGGAAAAGCATCAAGATGAATACAATGGAAGAGAGAAAGTTAAAGGGGAACAGAGAGCCTTTCAGTCTGAGTGCTGACACATTGCTTGACACACTGGCTGGATAACATGACCAGTAAATTGATGGAGAGATGAAGAGGGGAGCACAGGAATGATTTTACAAGAGGTGGTGAAAAATCTGATACATCTCCGATTATATCTCTCCCATTACCTTGAGTATAACCAAATTGCAAAAAACATTTTCTCACTTACCATTAGTGGTATCTTGTGCTTGCAGCCATGCCATTTTGGTTTTGTTTGATGTTTCAACAAAACTAGAGTCTACAGCCACTAGCGGCTCAGTGAAGCTGTACTCAGGCACAGTGGTGGTTTGAGCAACATGCTTACATCGACATGCTAGCACTTTCACAGTAACAATGCCAACATACTGATGATTAGCAGGTAATGCTGACCATGTGCACCATCTTAGTTTAGAGAGTTAACATGTTAACATTTGCAAATTAGCACTAAACACAACGTTCCGAAGAGCTGAGGCTGATGGGAATGTAATCAGGTTTGCAGATATTTGGTCATTTACCAAAGTATCTTTGATCTGATGATGGAGCTATATTAAAAGTTAAGGGATCACCCTGAGGGGGGCATGAATGTCTGTAACAAATTTCATGGCAATCCATCTGATAGTTCTCGAGACATTTCAGTTAAACTGCAACGAAGGTTACAACGTTGTAACCCTAGTTCTATTAGCACAGGCGGAGCCCTCTACTGGATTTTATGGGTAATACTATTCTCCAATCACGAGCATGCATTTGCATCAACCTAGCCTGCCAATCAGGACGTGCCTACCCAAAAACATGCAGAGCATACAGTATATAGGAAGGCATATGGTGATGTCTCTTAGGCCTATCATACACCGTCTTCAGTGAGTGACATAACAGCGACAGGGCCTCTAGGTAGAGGGCTCCGTCTGTGGTAATAGAATTAAGGTTACAATATCCTAACCATTGTTCTGTCCCACACAAGCTCCGCCCTCTACTGAACTCTGTGTGTACAGTGGGTGGAGCTTGATGAATGACTGCCCTGTTGTGACATAACATCAACCCACCCACACTGATCCTGACTAGCCAAAGGTAAGTCACCACAGCCGGCCTTCTTCTTCATAACCTAGGCTGCCACAGCAAAGAAGTACGAGGCCCCAGCCAAGCCAAATAATACGCAACCAAACTGGGCGGAGCCATTGCCTAACTTTCCAGGAGCCAAAAGGCAGTGGACAGTAGCTGAAGGGAAAAAGGGTAGTTGAGAATGTCATAGGCCTTATTATATACTGTGGGCTCCGGAGATATTTGAGTAGACAGATCCTGATTGACCGGCTATGTTTCTGCAAATTTCAGTGGTTGGAGGAGAGCATTAAGCATAAAGTACAGTGTAGGGTGGAGCCTGTGTGAGATGGGACAGTCTACCTCATTGTGGCCCTAGAGGAATAGTCAGGGGATCAGGTATTTCCAGCCTGATCCAAAGTGGTGGACCAACCATCACGTTGACATCAACATATATAGAGTTGTGCCACTAGTGTGATCACAAATTCAACAACAACAACTCTTTCCAGAAATGGTGGTCTTTATTTCTCCAGATATTCCACAGAACTTCCTGTAAACAGTTATCACAGGAACTATTTCTTCAGTTAAAAGAAGTTCTAATGAAAAATATATATAAGGTTGGTAATTCGGGACCAAAGCAGTTACAAATGACGACACAGAACATATGTCCTAGGTGTTATCTCTTTAAATTTGGGGACTTAATCAACCTGAGAGGAAGTTTGCATTTTACAATATATATGTAGTGTCAAATATTCAAAGCTGTTCCAATCAATGTTTTCATAGTAATAAAGGATCAATGACTTTGTGTAATGTGATAGGAGTCAATGGTAGTGACAAACCCACAAGACTTATCACCCAAGTCTGGAGTCCCCCTACTTTACAGAGGGTTTTGGTGTCTTTAAGGTCACTGTTTTGGTTTCACAGGCTGCAACTTTACTGTTTTGGTTCAGTCTCACAGCTCTCACACCTTTTTTTAAGTACAGTGAGAAAATATGTTTTCTTTTGTTTGTTTTTGTGTAATTTGGGTGGACTGATGCTTTAATTATTAAGACAGTGAATATTGGAAAATTCCTGCAGTTAGGTGTAAAAACTTGACGAAAAAGAGTGGGTGTGAGAGGATATAAAGGGGCATTTTCCCAAATATGTTCAGGCTTTTACCACCCAGGTTAACATAACATGTTCTTTGCCTCCTCATAACACCACTCCTTCAGCCCCCCTAGGCCAGACAACAGGCTACTGTGTCTCAGGAGGCACAGACAGGATCAGCCCTGAGAACTATGTGGGGAAAAGTCTAGAAAGTAAAATGAAAAATCCACAAGGGCTCCGAAGATGTAAAGTCAAGCCAGAAAGACTTCCTTTTACACATATTGTCTTCCAAAAGGTTGTTGTGGAGTATGGGCTCATATTTTGCTGTTACATGTTCATGAGTAACATAACTTTGACAGGAAACAGCTTTCATCCACAGGGGCCAGCTGAAGCCATCGATGCGTGCTGCGGTGTGTGCTCCATCTTTGATGAGATGTGACAGGTCGGAGTGTGTTCATAACTGTTTGTGTTTATAAACAGGTGGACTTGGTTACAGCTGAGGGTTATTTGTGTGCTGGATGGGCCCGAGCCAATCGCAATCAGGAGGAGAGCATAATAAAATCATACACTCACCCGGCTGATGTTATACGCTCAGGCTCTGTTTTCTGTCGTCATTGGTCAGATGTTTGGATTTTTTTTAATTGATCTGATGCTGCCATATTTTCATTAGTAAGATTATATCCTTTTTTGAAGACATTCTCACTGTAGCTACATCACATAATATAATTTAACCTTAAAATGATAGCTCCTATCTATTTTTTTAATTTGATGATTTCTTTTATTTTTGCAGATGTGACTGACTATAATTTTATACCATGTGTTTTTAGTGTCTGCTATTTAATTGTGTTCTTGTGGTAAAACATAAATAGTATATTTCCCTTAAAAGAAACTAATTGTATTTGAGTTGAATGTAAATTAAATGCAGACAGAGAGAGAAAGACATGTACTGTAGGATTTTATAAAAAATGATTTAAAGCACTAAGAAGTGATAAGAAACTTACAGTTCAGTGTGATTGGAAAAATAGGAGACCTATTTAAAATGAGGGGATTAAAGGGGACATCAGGGATTAAAAATACCACATGACGCAAACTGAAAATAAAATTATATTTTATTTTCCACTGTGTGAAAGGAAGAGAGGGTCTTAACTTGAATGAGCCCTCTAATGCCACACATGGGTTTTCTATCCCATGGATCAGCCTGTAAGGATTTAACACACTCAGGAGGAACCCAATTGGCCTCGGTGAATATTAACTGGACTTAATGTGCAGCATATTGGCTCACAAATGATTTAATAATATGTCTTCATTTCCTTTGCTAAATCAATGACAGTAAAGATTCAGGCCTTGGCGGGCAGCCTCATTGTGTCCTCAGGATTTTCCCTCTTTTTGTGCAGTCCAAATATTTCCAGAAAATAAAAAAAGAACATTGTGGCAACAAACCAGAAGGGGGCGCCCAAGAATGTCATTTATGAACTGTGCCTCTCCTCTGTGGTCTTGTTTGCGGAGGAGGAGAGCTGAAGATGTACAGTGAGAGACCAACAAAAAGTTTTGTTAAAAAGTTTTGAGATGTCGATGAAATGTGAAACAGCAGGGTGAACTTACAAGAGCCCTATTACTGTACTGATTGAGACCACATTAAATCATTATTAACCAATACATTTGCTGTAAAACAAACATACACAGGGGATGGACAAATTAATTACAACACCTTACAATATAATGCAGGCCAGTAACAACAGCATCTGAAACACGCCCCAGAATGACTGTTTGAAATGCTTTGAAAGACGTGGAGATACAATTCTTAAGTTTGGCATGATACCAAAACACTACTGTTTGTGACACCTTACACTGAAAAATATAAATGCAAACACAAGCAAGAACTTTGCAAAATAAAAAAAAGCCTTAAATTAGAAACATTCTCATCTAAATCAGGAACTCTCTTACAAAAGAATAAATATGACCAGACATATACTGCCAGCTTTCAGTATTTAGATATATTGTGGTGTGTGCCAAAAGTACTGACCCTTAATAGTTAGCCCTTACAATAATAACAATAATACTGTTTTTATAAAGCACTAATCAAGCAAGCAGCACAAAGTGCTTTGCTTTAAAACTGTGCAATAATTGGTGCAATGATTCAACAACAATACTCCGTGCAGTTATTCAACTGTGCAATATTCTTCCCACTCTTTAATGTATATTGAAGCACTCCTGAATGTAGTATATGGAACATATGTTGTATATAATGTATTTACTTATATTTCTTAATCTTATTCCTACTTATATATTTTTTGTTTTACATTGTAGTATTATACACATATTCTTATATTTCATAAAATTGCACACTAGTTTTATAGATTGTATTGTAGCATAAGGTACATGTTTTTATATTTTTTACACACTTTATATGCTTCGCACATTATACACATGTTGTAGTTTTAAATATTTTACATACTATTGTTACATTGTAGCAAATTGCACAGATTTATGTCTATATCTTCACACACTTTGTACTTGTACTTCATATTTCTACCTCTATAAGTCTCATTTACATCAGAGCAACTGTAACAAACAACAATTTAGTTTCAGTTAAGTATTTCTGATTCTTATTCTGATTCTGAAATGGAAATGAAAGTCCAAGGTATACTGTACTAGGAGAATAGTATAAAAGGAAAACGAAAACAATCACAAAACAATAATAATTCAGACACAAACATATGAGCAATGGATAAAGAGATCTCTGAAAATAAGATGAGATGGTTCAATAATTAAACCACACCTCTCTGACACAGTCTCAGTAAACACTAAGATGAACTATTTATTGTAAGAGTGCTGTGTTGTTTTTGTCAATTCTATGCATTAAGTAATACATTTTGTTACATGTGATGTAATGTAGTTTCATAATAGTAACTGGTTGTGTAACCAGGCAGGTAACAATACATTAACTAGGTAGGTGCTTATATTTGGGTTTCAGAATCCATGCACATTTAAAAAATTGTTTCTGAATAGCTGAATATCTACACAGTAGACAAATCCTACAGGTGTGATCAATCAACTACGTGCCTTTAAATCAGCAAGAATTAGGATTTCTGACTAATTTGGGGGGCATGAATTTACAGTTGAGTATATGTGTACACAAATAGTGTATGTGTATACATTACAGTGTGTGGGTGGGTGGGGAGTTGAAGCAGAGAAGCTGTTTGTAGTGAAAACAGTGAGAAAGAAGACACAGAGAGGAAGCTAAACACAGGCTGCTCTTTGAAGTGCAGAGCAGGGTAATGCTATTGTGAGCAGGTTGTTTAACCAACACAATCACAAGTTATATGTTGGCCCAGGACATATCTGATCATCTGTACATCTGATAATACGTGATAAATGGTATAAAATTGTATAAATAGTGCAGATTAAAGGTAATATGTCGTGGGGGCTATAAATTGTACTATTAATGGGTCGAAGGCGGCGAGAGATTTCCTGTGTTAAGTGGATGAGGTAGTGTGGCATACAGGAAGGGAAATAGCATGTGTGTGGTTCAGTGGGAGGTGGTGGAGGGGATATAAGGAGAACTATAGGATTGTGTATGTTCGAGAGGTGCGGAGTGCGCAGCAGTGCAAATTGAGGTCAGTTTCAGCCGAGTAGCCTTTTAGCTTTGATCCCTCAGCTGAACTGGATGAAAGACATCCTGCTTCCCTCGCTAAGGAGGGAGGAAGGGGAGGCGAGCACCAAGAGGACCTCAGTTTTCCACCTGACAAATGTGGCTTGATGCAGCACAAACTGTTTCCTCTATTGCGCCGATAATCTCTTATTATCATCTGTCTGGCCTTTCTTCTGCCTTACTTGTGTTCTCGCCCACTCCTCTCTGTAACTCACACTCCTTGCCTTTTTCCTGCTAATATAAATTCTGATGGGCTTTATCAATGCTTTGTCTCTCCATCTGTATTTCCCTGACTCCCTCTCTTCTCTTGTTTTCCTTTACAGTGCATTCAAAATCTGAACTTTGATCCTCCCACGACCTGTCAGACAGCAGACCTGAAGCCTGGAGCGATCCACTGTTTGCGTGTGTGTGTGGCCTGGTGTGTGCAATCTGGTGCAAAAGCATCTGAGTTATGTCAATCACTGTGTGCGTGTGATCAGAAAATAATTACTTAATGGGATTAGGGTGTTTAGACTTGACTCACTGTGTCACTAATGTTTCTTAACACTGTATGTGAACAAAGCGCGTGCGCCATCATTTAGTGTGACAGCTTCCAGTCAGGCAGTGGGGTGATTATTTTGTGGAAAATCTGGTTTACTAATTTAATAGATAATTTCAGTTTATTACAAAATGGGTCTTTTTTGTAGTTTTGAGCATCTTTTCTGTCAGAACACTGTACTCACCAAAATGAAATTCAGCCATCAGGGGACACAGGGACATCACTGCAACACAGAACAACATGGAAAGAAGCAGTGAAGTGAAAACAGAAACTTAGTACCCAAACTGTACCATGTAAAGAAGCCACCACAACTTTCAAAGTTTCAACGTTGACCTTCAACCATATTGTTCAATCAACAGAGACAACAGCCCAGAAGAAAATGTTGCCATTGTTTCTGCTAACTACAGATACAATACATTTGTACATTTCATACATATCATGTTCACGTTTCTAAAGTGACATAGTAGCCTATATGAGCTGACTTTGTCAGCGGAAGGTGGAGGGGACGGTGCCTTGTGTGACATCTATGCGAGATGCCTGTAAAGCTGCAGACCACTGCAGACAACTGTTCATGAGACCCGTCACTGTGTTTCCAGCTGGGATAGTGCCAAAACAGGTATTTGAAGCCAAAACATGATCTTTTCCTAAACATAACTAAGTGGTTTATATGCCGAAACCCTAACCACACATTAACCACAGCATTGTAAAAACATGAATTTTCAAATGATCTGCTACATAATGTACACATGTAAATTAATGTATGGTTTGGAGAAAGATAAAATGCTCACACTTATTCTGGTGATTAGGTTGGAGAAAGCACAAACCAAAATGCAGACAAATTTGATAAATGAACCCAATATGGCACTTTTATTAGGATAGGCATAAACTGGATGTTGACAGTGACATTTGTGGGTTGTTGGAGTTGCAAAGCAGATAAGTGGCATAGACTGCAATGAAGGCAGAGAGACAAAACAGGCAGAGTGGTTTAAATATTCTTCAGCTAAGATGATCATTGGATGAAAAGCAAGAATACCAACAAAGTCAAGTTAAATTATTAGATAATAAGTGTTAGGTGGGGCCACTGAGTGACAGTGAAATAAAATGATAATTGTCTTTCTGCTTGCACATGTACTAAAAGCTTTATTTACAGGTGCACCTTTTGTAGCAACATTTTGTGTGCCCTCATGTTCTGTTTTACCTCCAAATAAAGATGATTTACAATACCTGGCCAAACTGTCTGACTTTGTTGCAGTGACATCACTGTGTTCCCCAATCTCAGACATTAAAGGTGCTCTGTGGCGTTTCATTCTTGAGGTTTGACAAATATGTTATCTCTTTCCCCCTAAACACTTGCAAAAGCCAAATTTTATATATTCTAAACAATGCATTGTTTGCATCCACATTTGCTACCTCCTTCACTGTCTTTGATTGCTCATTGCTGTGCTCGTTGGCCTGTTACCACCTCCAACTGTCGATCAGCTGAATACCATGCGCACATGTGCGTAAAGAAAAACAAAACAGTGACCAGCTCACAAAAACATTGCTCCATAGTGCTACTTTTCAGCACAGTCTCAGTGCCAACTTGAGAAATAATGATGCTTGGTCAGTGGCCCTTGGCATTAGATACCAACACACAGAGGCACCCTTTAGCTGCAGTAGGAAACGCACCAGGCAGCAGCATATTTTGACTCTCAGAGAAGACAAGTTCTGCCATAGAAACTGCCATAGTACAAAAAGCAGGTGAAAGGGAAGGTGGCTCGATCAATCAAACAAGCCCCAGACTTTCACCCAGGTGACCGCTGGTTTTGTCTATCCCATGTGAAACCAAACGTAAATCGAATTATTTTAATAACAACCAAGTGTGCTAGTAATGTCACCTGACATTACATTACAACAATGACCATACTTATTTTAAGCCAAACCATAATGTTTTTTTCCAAACCCAACCACATGCTTTTGTTGCTTAAACCTAAGGTAGTAAACCTAGCAATAAAGGTTTTTTTTTTTTTTACCTACGTTCTATATTTACAAGCGTAAATTGACACACTGTCCCTGAACGTTCAAATCTGACGAGGGTACCTAGAACGTCATAGTTTGAAGATTAGGGCCACTGACCAAGTGTTGGTATTTGTAGTTGGGAGTGAGAATTTGTTGTAATTGTGGTCAAAAAGTCACCACAAGGTGAATAAAATGCTGTCCCATTGAATGTGAATAGAAATGGCGTCCAAAACTATAAAAATACAAGCCACGTTGTAACAAGCTCTCTCCTTATCTTCATTTTGCTTGTTGTCATACCTCATTTTGTGTTGTTTCTTTGTCATCACCATTCTGCTCTGAAGCTGATATACTTCAAAGTGTTTCTTCACACTGGAACAACAGACACATATGGAACATAAATGACAGGATGGACCTATAAGTTGAAATACAATAGAGCTCAGGAACAAAGAGGATTAATAGAAGGCCACTTTCCTGTGTTTGACATTGGGCCAGTAGAACGTAAATGTCCTGTATGATCTTCATTTATTTATTCTTGTCGGCTTGTAAATGTGGAAACCAGGAAAACAGTCATCTGGAAAGAAAGTTTTGACAGTTGAAATTCATTTATCATCACAAACAGAATGGAAAGAAGATCTACAGTAACATTTGTGGACAGTATGTGAAGTGTGCATGCTAGCATGAAAGTCTACTGGAGAAGTGGGAAGATGCAAATGACATGCGTGAAACAAAATGGAGCAACAACCAAATTCTGAGAGATAATCTGCAGTGATGTAACATTGAGGTAATAACTGAGCTAATCTGGCAACCATTCAGTTTGAACCCTTTCACCCTGTGTGTGGGAACGTATCACATCTTTACATCAGTAAACAGTGTGTCAGTAACAGAAAAGAGGCTACACTCCTTAGCTGACTTGTAAATACCATAACAGATGTCAGATTACCTGGTTATACAACAACGCAAATCTGCAAACTAATGATGACTCACATACAGTATGAAAACATGCACACAAGGAATGCAATTTTGAAATAGACTCCATCACAATGCATGACTAACGTTAGCATAAACAATCCAATTATGACAAACAAAAGCGAAAAAGATTTACGGTTCTGAACTGTTTACCAGGTTCCTAATTTAGAGCTCATCCATGATTGATGGGCAGGTTGACGACTCACACCCAAATGCTAATATGCCTTGAGGAGGAACACAACAACATCTGACGAACGGCCCTTTGTTTATTCAGCCATCTTGCTTCTTAGCATGGGGATGGAATCTCCAGCTACGTTGTATAATGAGGCAAGATCTCTCTGGCTCTCTAAACTAATCTTCCCTGACAACTTCTTCGCAGCTACCTTATCCAATGAAACAGGTTCTTCTATCATGGATTAGCACTCAGCTCAAGTCTGAAATTAACAGCAAATAGGTTGTTATTAACAGGTGTTTGTGATGTTGTGTGTGCAAATTGCCAGTTATGCTTTTGTGTAAGAAGTATTAAAGGGACAGTACATTTTCCCTTATACCTGTAGCACTATTTATTATTGGTTTTGGTGTGAGCTTTCAAGCGTTGGAGATATCAAATGCAGAGATATCTGCCTTCTCTCCAGTATAATGGAACTAGATGGAACTGGACTTTTAGTGCTCAAGGTGCCTGTTTACCTGTTTACTCAAGATAATCTACAGAACTTGTTGTGAGCAGTTTCATGTAGGAACTATTTTCTTTCTACCAAACTACACCTGCCAACCATATCACTGCGCAGAAAGAATTAAGCATCTACTCATGGATGAGAGGCTTGTGCTTGTGACAGTGTGAGATGTAAACATTATTAATTAATACTCTTCAACTGAGCTGTAACATGAGCTAACTCAGTGGTGCTAAGTGAGCTAGCTGTAGATGCACTCTTCCTTCTGCATGGTGATACTGTTGGCTGAAAGATGTTTTGCCTAAAAATACCAAGTTTGGTGCCACAAACATGGCTGGAAATGTCCTTTTGTTTTTTGGTCCCAAACAGTGGTTCGCTGCTTTCTGCTGGTTGGCAGCCATCTTGCCTGGGTCTCACACAATCCACCTTCCCCTCCTTCTCCTGATGAGAAACTCATCTTAAACACATGTAATTTGAACTACATCACTTTAGAAATGTTAATATGATATGTATGAAATGGACAAATGTAACATATCTGTGGTTTGTAGAAATGTACAACACCAAAAATTTATTCTGGCAACAGGGCTGAGTAAAAAGAAGAATAATCCCACCTGGAATATAAATTAGAAAGTAAAACTAAAGTAAAGTACAAGTACTTCAAAACTGTTGGTCATCAGAGGAGAGAGGAGTGCAAGTGACTAGGTAAACTTTACTGCAGGACAGTACTTCCACATTGTTAACAGAGCCCAACAACATTCCAGAGAGCTCACATCTGTTTAAGTGTCTGTAGGATGGGAAAGGAAAGGTAGGAAACTCTAAAATCAATCTCCCATTCCATATTTAATTACCTCCAGCTCACACACAACTCTCCCCCAACCTGCCTGTGTGCAGCAGGAAATGGAATGTGAGGTTTTTGCATTGGTTAATACATTTCATAATCACAACAATAAGAGTATCATTAAAGATTAATGATTTCCTCATCGCACATCCATCATGGGTCTACAGCTGGCAGACAATGTTCCCGCTGCACACACACACACACACACATACACACACACACACAAACACACACACACACAAATGATCAAATACAATATGTTAGCATATAGACAGTAGGGCAGAGAATTCCCTAGATTTAGGTAGGTGTAGGCCTAACTGTCATTTGGTTTACACAAACGCATGCACACACACACACACACACACACACACACACACACACGCACACACACACACACGCACGCACACACACACGCACGCACACACAAACACACTCACTCACACACACAATGACACAGAGGCAGATCCATGTTGCGATCTTTCAACAGCCAAGGGTTGCCCATCGCGTGTGACTGCTGTGTAGAAGGCAAGTGCACAGGGAGGTTTCTTGGATGTTTAACATGTCATCCAACCAGTTTAAGCTCATAATGAGGTGACAGTTGGATTGTTATCAGAGAGCCAAACAAAGGCAGGATTGAGACAGGCTGACACCTCCGTCGGCTGCTCATTGACCTGGGATCAGCCTGACTTTAGGTGCGTCATCAAACCCAAACTGTCAAAATATGATAATAAACTATGATGAGTTATGCACGGGCTATAAAACAGTCAAACAATACGGTAAATGTCTAGATATGGTTGATAGGCATGACAAAGAGAACTTGACACTGTGTCATTAAGTTCTTCGACCAATCTTCTAAAAATATTTTCAACAGTCTAATGGTTTTCATTTGCACATTAATCTAAAATACCTGACACTTGGTTTCCTTTGTCTTGCCATGACAATCAAAATACCACAGGTACAAACACATATGTAAACACCTGCATGATACTGTGTGTAGTACATGGAGCAGCTGCAACTTGTGCTTGCTAATAACTACAAACTGAAAAGTATATCCAATATCCTTATTCTTTTGCTATAATACTGGTCCAATGGTTCAGGAGTCGTGGGTAAGCTGGTAATGGGGGAAAACAGGGTTCTCCACGTGTTCTTTGTGATATGACTTCCTTTGTCCTTTTGTTTTGTTTTGTTGACCGGTTGGATCATCTTAAGTATGTTCCAATCATTTCCTCCTACTGTACTGGAGTTTGCTTTTGAATGGTGACAGCTAAAACTGGTGACTTCTGCATTATTTTCATTTGATTTAATTATTTCATAGATACTTTTTATCATTTCCCTGGGAATTTACCTGATAACACTTCAAAATAGGGACATACTTTAATTTTCACTGTGTTATTTGTTTTCAGGTTGCCATTATTTGCAGCTAATGATTTTTCTGTTGTCTTTCTAAAATTAACTTAATTCAAACTTAAGTTGCAATGGCCTTTTAGGCAGTGGCACCCCCAAACGTGAGCCAGGGGGGCATGGCCAGTGCCAAGTTAAGCGTAAGGCACCCACTGCTACCAACAGTGCTGGCATAGCTTGTTGGGAAGGGGGCTAATTAATGCTCCAATGTTAAGCTAAATTTTGGCAAGGGAGCAACTGGCATGGCCATTTCCCTTGAACTCCCACTTCAAGATATCTGACTGAAAATGGGTTCTGTGGGTCCCCACGAGTCTCCCCTAAACTTAAGAGGAATTGTTCCCAGTAAATATTTTGTTCCCTACAAGCAACGTACTCATTCACATAAAAGCTGTGTATTTTCTTTTTAAGGAATGGACAACCAGCCTATTTGAAGAACAATGAATCACCTAACATGTACAGACAAATAACACATCAAAACAGGAATGTTGTGGAACTTCAGATGACTGGTGTTAGTCTATGCAAATAATAATAATAATAATATTAACTGGAAATATCAGTATGTGATTCCTTAACTTTCAAATTGACATAGTTTTCATCTAGCCTATATACTTCAACACCATAATTCAATTCCTTATTTTCAGTTATGGCTTTTGATTTTTTGATATACCACCCCAAGATTTTCAGTGGGTCCACCTGGCCACCACTATGGAATATTTCCAGGGATGCCACTGCTTTAGGGCTTGAGGATAATCTTTGAAACAATTCCAGTACAGACAATCCCAGCTCAAATTCATGTTCATAATGTGCCATCTTAAGCATGAACTGCAGTCTTGACATTTGAAATAGGGATGTTCTAGTATGAAACAACAAGATGAAACTGACCTCAAGCCTCCAAGAACAGCACCAGGCAGTGAGCCACAGTTAGAACCGTAGGTCATATGATACCCACTGGCTCTGAAGAGTTCCCCCCAAATACATTCATTACAAAAGAAACAGCCATAAAGCAATAAATCGATTTTTCTGGGTGTCTCAACAGGACAAAGTATTATCACAATCTGATCCATCAAGTCTAACAAACAATAAAAAGTTTTTACAAGTTCTATCAGTAAATGGTTTCAGTGCTGTTCATCTGAGTGGGGAGCCAACAGGAAACCAGCTGGCTCAGCCAGAGAAGGACATTGATGCTGCTCGAGCTCCAAGGAGCTAAAGAGGCCTGAAAAACGTTTCTGGCGTATGTGGTCGATGAGCCACTTTCATTGGAATGACTGAGACGCAATCTTGGAAGACTGCATTCAGATCTCTAAATATATACATGCTTTGGGTTTAGTTTTGCTCACAATAACTATGCCTGACAAGCACTGACTCCATAGGGACTTTATCATCTCTACAGGTATATAAGACTGCACAATGAGTACGTTTAAGTTGGTCACGCATTTGCACAAGCAAATGCGTGACCAACTTTCACAGGGTATGCTAAGGGTCTAAAACTGGATACATAATGTA